GCCCAAAAAGGCCAAAATAGCAATCTGAGGAGGCCTTATGCATAGCAGACATAGCAGCATAGTTTTCAGGCCATCAGGGCTTAGGCCTTCTGGTGTGCTATGTGTTTTCTTGACTTAAAAGTGACACGCAACCCAGCAGTGCTTGTTTATAACAATGGAAAAAAACTGTGGTAAGTTTTGATTGGCTCAAGGAGAGGTATGAGAAGGGAAGAGGAAAAACATCTGCAGCTGTTACAGCATGTTTGAAGTAAAACCCAGGAAAGAGCAAGAAACGGGCAGTTTCCTCCTTTAATTAGGAAATAATATCTCCTTTAATTAGGAGGAAATAATAGTTCTCCTTCAAGGCCAGGCTGGATGAGGCTTGGAGCAGCCTGGTCTAGTGGAAGGTGTCCCTGCCCATGGCAGGGGGGTTGGAACTGGGTGATGTTTAAAAGGTCCCTTCCCACCCAAACCGTTCTGTGACTCTATGATTTAATTAAAAGCAAAACAAAAAAAAGTTTTAATATCTCCTTTAATTAGGAGAAAATAATAGTTCTCCTTCAAGGCCAGGCTGGATGAGGCTTGGAGCAGCCTGGTCTAGTGGAAGGTGTCCCTGCCCATGGCAGGGGGGTTGGAACTGGGTGATGTTTAAAAGGTCCCTTCCCACCCAAACCGTTCTGTGACTCTATGATTTAATTAAAAGCAAAACAAAAAAAAGTTTTAAAGCATTTTTTTAAGATACAGTATTATGAGAGAACACTGAATGGAATGAAATTAGCCATTTCAGGTTACTTTTAGGAATTATTATGCTTTTTTTCCCCCTTTTAAGTCAGACTCAGCCAAACTGCTAGGAAAGCCGAAAGCTCTTGTCCGTGGCTCTCTGCTGAGGATGAGGTTAAGGAGCGTGTGCCGCACAGCAGTGTGTTGCGGACCAAAATGCCTGAAGTTGAAGGCGTTACAGTGTCAGGTTGGGGTGGTGGCCGCGCGTGTTGCCGTACCAACGTGGGCACGTCACGGTCACGTCTGAGGCCGCGCCTCGGGCCTGCGCCCTTTCACCTACTTTGCCAGCTGACACGTGACAGCGGAGGAATGCGAGGGGGGGGCGTGTACAGCGGCTTATGCTTAAACTGCCCTTTAAGGAGGAAAAAAAGTTCAAAGGAAGGGACTTGAGGAAGTCTTTGGTGTTCAGCCCTATGATCCAGAACATCCTTAAGGCCGGCGGTTTCCGTCAGGGGGAGAGCGGAATAGGGAGAGAAAGAAGCCGTTTGATTGTTTCGCATCTTAAGGCCAAGAAACACGATCCTAGAACTAGACTTGCCTCTGTTTTCAGGGCTTGTTTACTTAATTCAGGATTAATGCTTTGTGGGTTAATATTTCTTCATTTGGGATTAAGGAATGTTTTCCTTACTGACGCTTATTTAATTCATGATGATGCTAAGTTTTAATTAGTTTAAATATCACTTGACTGTTTATGATTAATGCTATTTGTAATCTTTTTCTGCTGTGAATAGAGAGGAGGATAGCTACAAATTCCCAGGCTCAGAAGCCACAGGAGAGTTGAAGGGTAATGGAAACCAGTTGATCTGGTACTTAAGGCAGTGGCATTCCAGAATACAAAACTCCATGAATGAACTGGAGAACCTTTTGTCCCTCCTTGAGGCAAATTGTTCCCTGATTCTCCATATGGGGATGTGGCTGGTTGTGCTATGGTGTTGTTTTATTATTATTACTCCAGTCTTAATAGCACTGCTAAACATACAATGAATTCTTAATGTTAAGTGCTCTCTCCTCTTGCAGACCCCGTTGAGTCCAGGACCTGTGTCCTATGTTGTCCTGGGTTTGTCTGGGAGGGAGTTAATTTTCACAGGAAGCTGGGAGGGGACACAGCTGGGATACCTGACCCAAACTGGCCAAGGGGATACTCAGTGTGTAGCTGGGGGAGCCAGCCAACGGGAGGGGGAATCTTGGCTTGGGAGCAGGCTGGGCATTGGGTTCTGGGTGGTGAGCAATTGTGCACCGCTTGCTTTGTATTCTGTTTTATTAGTGGTGGTGTTGTTATTTCTTCTCTCCTGGTGTTGTCCTGTTAAACTTGTCTCAACTCACAGTTTTTGCCTTTTTCTTCCCTGATTCTCCTTCCCATCCCATGGCGGGAGGTGGGGGGAAGGGGGTGAGGAGTGAGCGAGTGGCCCCTGGTGCTTAGTTGCCGGCTGAGCCTGAAGCAGGAAACATCTATCACTGCTGCCTGTCTCTGCTTCCTTCCTCTCTTGCAGGTTTGGTCTCAACCTTGAGCTGGTGACGCACCATTCGCAGGAATGAATGGACAGCTGACTGACTTCCAGCAAGGCCCTGTGAATAAGCAGTTGTTAGTGATGGATTCATTAAGTGCTACAAATTGCAGTTGTTACTAGGGTGTACAGGCCTTGTCTTAAACTGGTGTTCAGAGCTGATTTGGGTTCTCTGTTGTCCTAATCAGACGCTGTATGCGCATAGATCAAATTGCATACTATCTGCATGACACTCTGAGCTTTAGGTACCTTCTGGAAACCCAGAAGTCTGATTCACCCTGGACTCGGCCTCTAAAACTTGAGCAGTGGCGGATGGATTTGGGAGATCTGTCACTTACCTTCAGCCACTGTAGCAGTAGGTGTGTTGCAGAGTTTGATTGTTGTAGGCTGGTGTGAGGACAGGCACTTTTAACTGCTGGAAACAATGACTGCCTGTTGGTCAGCAACCTTTCTAGGTGCTGCACAACAGCACTCGCCTTCTTCACCTCTGCCTGGTGCTCCTTCTCTTCCAATATAGTGACTTTATTTCCAAAGGCAACTGTTAGTGCAACCTTCCCAGTGCGTACGGTCCCTAGTTGTCTGTCACAGACCTTTGTCCCCCCTTCTTTAAGCTCCAGGTGACTTTGACATAGTAGAATATTTACAGACTAGTGGAGCAGCACTACGGTCATGTGCTGTTCAACAGGGGATGAACACCTACCAAAATGTAAGTTAATTACGAACTACAAGCTTCAGGTTTGCAAAAGAAATGTGTATTTCTTTTGCAAGCCAACCATATTCTGGGCTGTATCAGGAGAAGTGTGGCCAGCAGGTTGAGGGAGGGGATTCTCCCCCTGTACTCTGCTCTCGTGAAACCCACCTGGAGTGCTGCGTCCAGCTGTGGAACCCACAACATCAGAAGGATGTAGACTGGTTGGAGCGAGTCCAGAGGAGGCCACGAAGATGCTCAGAGGGCTGGACCCCCTCTGCTATGGGGACAGGCTGAGAGAGTTGGGCTTGTTCAGCCTGGAGAAGAGAAGGCTCCAGGGAGACCTTATAGCACCTTCCAGTACCCGAAGGGGGCCACAAGGAAGCTGGGAGGGGACTTTTTACAAGGGCATGTAGTGACAGGACAGGGGGTAATGGGTTTAAACTGGAAGTGGGGAGGTTTAGATTAGATATCAGGCGCAAATTCTTCCTGGAGAGGGTGGGGAGGCACTGGGACAGGTTGCCCAGAGAAGCTGTGGATGCCCCATCCCTGGGAGTGTCCAAGGCCAGGCTGGATGAGGCTTGGAGCAACCTGGTCTAGTGGAAGGTGTCCCTGCCCATGGCAGGAGGGTTGGAACTAGGTGTTCTTTAAGGTCCCTTCCAACCCAAACCATTGTATGATTCAGCCTTTAGTACTGAAAAGGTATGAAGTAGTTGTAGTTTCTTTTGATCTTGCTTAAAGAAAGATGCTACTGCCACTTTAAAACACTTGGTATTGATAATATTGAGTTTTGTACAGGTAAAAATGTGAAATTAAAACTTGCCCTTGAATCCTAACCTACAGACATGATTACGGATTCCTCTCCTTTTTTGCCGTACTTCTAAGGGGATGTTGTTTTTAGGAAGATGCATAAAAGCTTTGGTAAGCTAATAAATGAATGTGGACAAAAGACTTTGGAATCACAGTGGTCTCAGGAATATGTAGCTTGGACCGTTTCAGTGTGACGCACAGAGCAGGTCTGCAAAAAATCCCATGTTCTGATTGCAAGTGCTCAAACGGTGTTACTCTGAATTAATGCTGAGTAGGGGTAACCTCAGGATATTTATGTAGAAATGCTGGTTCTGAAAAGAACGATGCTGTGAGGATGAGCTGATAAATAAGAGCACATAGTTTAGTTCGAATGGGCTGTGTCCTCAGGGTTGAGTCATAAATATATAAACAGAATCACTGTGACATTTCTACTTTAACTTCCCGCAGTTTTTGAGCTTGGGGCGCCTGTACATCGTGGTGGTCTTTTGCTGGTATTGGCACAGTTGTTGTTATTTGTTTGGGTACTCAACTGAGCGGCAGTTCCGTTACCTTTCCTCTTCATTTCACATTTGGTGATGTGAAGGTAGTTTTTTCTGACCGTTGCGATTTTGTTTCCTCAGCTCTGCGTAGTTTGACACTTATTTATCAGTCAGAACTTGGAGCCACGGGGGCTAAGGTGTCTTATTGCTGTGACTAATCAACTTTAAGATATGAAACACAAATTCAGAGGAGGATGTGGCCAGAGGCAGCTTTGTTTTGTTTCCTGAGGTGAAGAGTTCCGATACCTTTTGTGGAGAAAATGATTTTCTCATCATTTTGAACTCTCCTTTCTCACTGCAGAGTGAGATATTACGTACCTGCGATACGCTTTTTCTAAATGTTACAGCTTTAATTTTCTGCTCCATTCTGAATTTTTGTGTAATGCATGTATGCACGACGCTTGGCTTGCTGCAATCCTGCCAGGAGGCCTAAGTTACATGTGAGTGTTTTGCTTCCATTTTCAGCTGTTGTGGTGAGAAGAGGTATCTCAGCTACCATACTGGACTCTCAGACTGAAGTGCAAGCATAGCCTGTAAGGAAGAGGCAAGTACTGTATGTAAATCTGGCATAATTTGAAATATTTCCCAAAATGACTCTGTAGCACATACCATGCTAGAAATGGAGACTTGCTCCTGGTTCCTTTGGACAAAAAGGTAATGACTTTTTACCTTTGCTTTCTGACAGGGCTCTCTGTGAAAATGGCAGAAGCTCATCAAGCAGTAGCTTTTCAGTTTACAGTAACTCCAGATGGGATTGACCTGCGGATGAGCCATGAGGCACTCAAACAGATCTACCTGTCTGGTGTCCATTCATGGAAGAAGAAGTTCATCAGATTCAAGGTATTTTCAGTTGGTCAAGTCCACCAAACCTGAGGGTTATTGAATGTTCCTTAGGTTTGCTGAAGTTTTGTTTAAGCAAAACTTTTTTTATTATTAATTTTGCCTCTATGGCGAATAAAGTTCCTTATTGTGTAAGAGTTGTGTGGGTTCTAGTTAAGGCAGGGGGTACTGAGGAAGGTCACGCTGGGTAATGCTGTAAGGACTGAAAGACACATTTAATTCTTTGAAAGCAAGATGAAACAGATGGAGAAATTAACATAAGCTGTAATTTATTTCATAACACAATGTAATTATGTAATCTTTTAGCGTAAGTCGGAAATATGACTAGTTGTGATTTTTAGTGTCAAATTGCTGAAGCTACACTCTTTGCCAAAATTAAGTTTCCAAATTAAGGGGTCTGCTTGCATCTGTCTTGTACAAGTTACCCTAAGTAGTAATGTTTCTGATGCAGTATTTGATTCAGATTGTTGTGAATTTACTGTTTTGTTCCTGGGGTAATAATAAATGGTAAGTATCTGTTTTATTAGTAGCAAAGTAGATAAGCTACAAGCATCTTCCAGATCTCTTTCAAAACATATTTTTAACAGTACTCCAAATAAAATCTTCTTAAACCGTCCTTCTCAGATTTATAAATGGTATTAAAAAAAAATTTCTCCAGTTTTCAGTGTTTTGTTCAGTAGAATATTTTCGCCACGTGCTCAGAACTTGGTGTAAGTGGGAAATACTGAAATGCCATTTGCTCCAAAACTGTTGGCTAATCTTAATATTTTTGGTAAGGTTTGCAGCAGGATCAGTGTTGCCCACAAAAGACTTTAAGGCTCCTTTAATCTCAGTATCCTTGTGATAATTTTCTGGAGCAGTCAAACTGAACTCAGGGGTAGGGAATAGATTTAGCTATGAGTATGGAAGAAACTGTTGGATAATCTTAACCTGTTGTTTAAAACCGAATTACCTCAATATGTTGATTTTTTTTTGTTTCTTTCCATGGTAATATGAAGTCAGCCACTTTGGTATGAAAAAATTATGTGAAGGCTTTTCTTTCCAGAATGGGATTATCACTGGCGTTTATCCTGCGAGCCCATCTAGCTGGCTTATTGTCGTTGTGGGCGTGATGTCAACAATGTATGCCAAAATTGATCCTTCTTTAGGAATAATAGCTAAAATCAACCGAACGCTTGACACAACGTAAGTAGACTGAAGAATCTGGTTTATCTGTAGCTGCTCTTAAAGCTAATCCCGTTGAAGTGTGTCAGTTTTGGAACGGTATGTTTGTGACGGATGTATGAGGCTGTTCTACCTGTATTACTACGTTGTTTTCAGAGGATTTGGGAAGCACATTTGGCAACTTCTGTGGCCTTTGATCTTACTGCCAGAGAGCGTGTTTGGAAAGGAGTTTGTGGCAAACGGCCGAACAGGCACTGAAGGTTGTGTAATGCCTTCCTGTAGTACCATGAGGCTCGGGTTTGCAGTATTGGGTTCTCTTTAAAGCTTCAGCTGTCGTTAATGGACTAATGCTGGCTTTTGTTTTCAATAGCGGCTGTATGTCAAACCAAACGCAGAACGTCGTGAGCGGAATTCTTTTTGGCACGGGGCTTTGGGTTGCCCTTATTGTCACGATGCGCTACTCTCTAAAAATGCTGCTTTCCTATCACGGTTGGATGTTCGCCGAACATGGCAAACTTTCTGCAGGCACCAAATTTTGGATGGTAAGGATACGTTGTCTTCCCCTTTCATCTTAGCTTCTGATCTGTATTCACATCCCTGAAAGAGAAAATTTTGTGGGTGTTTCCTTGCTTGTGTTTTCTGTGTCATGGGACAAGAGGCTGTTAGGTAGATATTTCTGCTAATTACCATCATCCTTCTGATGCTATAATTAAACTATTCAGGATGGCCTTGTAGAAGGCAGAGTAAACACTTCAAGAACAACTTGTAAATTTGCCAATGCCTTGGGACTGTGTGACTCGTACCTGCTTTTCCCCCGTGTGCAACTGCAGCTTAAAGAACTTGGGCTGCAGCACCGAAGAATCTTGTACTCCCCAGAAAGTGCTACCCGAATTCTTGAAACTTTAGGATTTCTAGTCATCCATTCTAAAATCAATCTCCTTCAATATTATGTTCTCTAAGCATATCCTTTCAATTGATTTAGTGGCGTGCCTCCACAGTGAGCTGGAGAACAAGCGTAAGGTAGGTAGGTAGTTTTCACGTAAGGGTAAGATGGGAGTGATCTGGCTCCTGTTGATTATTGTGGTGCTTTGGAAAAGCATCCTTAAAGGATGTTGTAGGTCTAAAGGGAGCTAATGTACGTATAGGTGCTCCAAGAGATGAAGTGGGTTTTTGTTACTGGGACTTGGCAGTTTCAGCTCACTTTTGCCAGTATTGTAGAAATAACGTAGGTGCCCTACTGCTACTATAAAATTAGTCTCTGCAGCCTCAAAAATTAACTGATGCATGTTAGACTAAAAACATGTCATGACTTGTTATGAAATATGTTCAAGAACAGGTACCCAGAATAGTACACTAAAATAGAATTTAATGTTCACCTGTTACAAATGAAATTTCTAATTGATAGCTTCTCCTGGAAGCGGTATCAGGAACCTCATGACTCGAATTTGTACAGTAATGGTAAGGCTTTCTGTCAATTGCTTGAAGCTGTAGCTGTCTGGGTTTTCAGCATGTCCTTCCCGATAGATATTTGAAAGCTGTTAATATTGCCATATCAACCTTAGACAGTATGAACTGTAATGCTACTTACCATGCTTTGTTGTGTATTGTATTTATACATTTGTGTCTATTATGTGTGTTGCATATGTATTTTGTTGTGTATTATGTAAGTTTTAAAATACAGAACACAATAAAGGCTTACGCCCAACAGTGTGTCATCTACACTTAATATGAAACTCTATTTTAATACTTTATTCTTTCTTTAGCTAGTCCCAACAAAAGAGAAGACTGCTTTCCCTTGCAGAACAGTACCAACTCCCTAGCTTTCTAAATTTTTATTACCCTTTAATATTGCATAATTTGCTGGAGGAGATTTCCTGTTGTGTGGTTTGCTTTTTTTTTTTCCTTTGGCTGTTTTTCATACTGATGAACAGAATGAAAAATGCCATTGTGAATATACAGTCTCCTGTCCAAATAGTCACGCAGATCAAAAACACAAGCTCTGGTTTCCATCACAGTTCAAAGTGATTTTTTTTCAGGCTGATCGAAGTCTGGTGACATGTTTAATGAACGTATTTCACCTTCTAAAGTCAAATTTCCTTTAATATGATCAAGGGAAAAATCACAGTATTAGTTACCATTTTAAAAAATAAGTGGAAAACCCAGTAATAATCTCATTCTAGCATGTGTTGCATCTGTTTACATAGTATTTGCTGTGTCTGCGTGTGAAATCAGGGTGTATTCAAGTGTGTGTGTCTGTTAGGTCGTTTTAGTGGTCTCAAACTGACATCAGTTCTCTACTATAAGTTTATTTAGGACATAAATCCTGTGAAGTGTCTTTGCTGTGTTTGTCAGTTGAGCAGGTTCTCTCTGTCTGAACATAATTTCAACCTTTCCTCGCCTAAGAGTTCTGGAATAAAATTGTCTCTAAGTATGGAATTGAATTTCTTATGAAAAGCAGAGGGTTTTTTTCCCCTCCCCTGGCTTCAAATTTATCTTGTCACGAAGCACAGCTGGATTTCATGGGGCTGATTGCTGTTGTGCACCCATGTACATCTCATCCCTCTGCAGGGAGGTGTTTGGTAATTCTCTGCAATTCTTAATGGTTTTGAGTTGCCTAAAACAACTTCCTTTAGTTGTATTGACCAAGGAAAATGAGGAGCGGGGAAAACTCTACATTTTAACAAGTAGATTTTTCAGTTGGGGGTGAGGAATTGGGTAGTGAAATGACATCCTCTGTTTTCTTCTGTCTGTAGTCTATCGGCCTATATCCAATACATGGTGTAGTATATTGGGCCAAGGTTGGATTTTGATACTAAAGCTTCCTCTGGATTGAATGTGTAATACTTGACCTTACTTTCATCCTTACGTGGGGTTGTAATTTCAAAATCCTTCTGTGGGCAGCCTATCAGTTGCATGGTCTAGACTTTCAGCCTCGTGCGTGTCGCAGCTGAGCAGTCGCCGTAGTCCGAAATGCTGCTCCTGTCTTCAGTCTGCCATGGGAAGCAAGAGATGCTCTACTCTCTGGAGCTGAGATGGGAACTGTCACCTCTGGCTTTTGTTTCGTTGCTGTTTTGTAACACAAGCACTGATTATAACCCTGGCATGCTTGCGCAACTTGGTGTGTTCAGGTCTTGCGGTAGACTACCTGAGAGACTCGTGCCTGAAGAAACTCCTTGTAACATCAGTGCTGTTATTGATGCTGAACTGTGGCTTTGGGAAACACTAAACCATTACACACAATTGTTATTTTTAAAGGTGGCTATATTTGGGATCCTTAGCTGAGTGATGGGCCTGATAATGATTCCTGTAAAAGATCAACTGGTAGACTTGCTTTTTTACTATTTACAGAAGGAAATATATGAAGAGAGAGAAGCGCTAAGTAGCGGTCTGTATTTTCTGTTGAGATCGAGGTATGCCATTCATAAACAGCCGATGACCAGAAGATTCTGGGAAGTCAGGAATGGCTGTGATCATCTTTCTCATCCACTGACATGTTGTTTAACCTTTAGGAAGTTGGTTTATGTCAGTGACTTTTTTTTGTTTGTGAAATAGTGATAAATAGGGTAGTTTGCTAAGTGTACTACAGTGTAATTTGTCAGTGAAAAGAACGATGTTACATTACACTTTATTACTGTCTTCCTTTTGTTTAACCTAATAATTTGAGGCGTGTACTTTGTTGCCTTTTTTTTTTTCTTTAGACACTTGTAAAACTCTTCTCAGGACGTAAACCCATGTTATACAGTTTCCAGACATCTCTACCGCGATTGCCAGTTCCAGCCGTTAAAGACACAGTCAACAGGGTGTGTACATACATTGATTAATTTTCTTCAGTAACGTGAAATCCATATGTAGATGCCCTTGTGGGATTTCAGGAATATCCTTGTGGATATCAGGAAGAAATTCTTCCCAGGGAGGGTGGGGAGGCCCTGGGACAGGTTGCCCAGAGAAGCTGTGGATGGCCCATCCCTGGAAGTGTCCAAGGCCAGGCTGGATGAGGCTTGGAGCAACCTGGTCTAGTGGAAGGTGTCCCTGCCCATGGCAGGGGGATTGGAAGTGGATGATCTTTAAGGTCCTTTCCAACCCAAACCATTCTGTGATTCTATGATTTGTTGCCGTGTCTTGCAGAAGTATTGCGTGGTGGTATTAATACGCTCTAATGGATGAAAATCTCTGTGTCAAAATTAAAATAAAGGCTAAGACAAACCACTGAAACTGGTGGCAATTTGAAGCTGGTGTAATTCATGTTGGATGAGATGGTGTCTGTTGATGTAAGACACTGCAACCCAGCGTGATCTCCAGGGCTTTTGAAATGTGTCGGTTTTATCTTCCACATGTTGAACGCGTGCGCGTGTTATGACACAAAACACTATAGCAAAGTGTGTGAGTAGGGCAGTGTGTCACAGGGACTGAAGGTTTGATTTGTAGAGATGGAAAAAAAATCTCTGCATGATACCGGAGCAGCAGGATGCCTTCCCCTTTTGAGTGGAAAAGGTATCTTTAGAAAAGTAACCTCTTCCACGTGGGATTTGCTGACAGACATCTGGCAAAAGATCTCAGTTCTGCAGTTTGCAGGCAGAGGTTTCCAAGAGTGAATACTCTTAACAACGTAGTGTTTGCAGCCTTGTGAGTGGCGTTTGGATGATCTCTGTCAACTGTTGAGGTGCTTTGTGGAGGAATGGCAGGAAGCTGCGTGTTAGTTACTGATGCTGATTCTTTTCCTGCTTTCTAGTATCTGGAATCAGTTCGGCCGCTTATGGATGATGAAGAGTTCAAAAGAATGGAGGGTCTTGCCAAAGACTTTGCATTTAATTTGGGACCAAGGCTGCAGTGGTATTTGAAACTGAAATCCTGGTGGGCCACAAACTATGTGAGTAGATAAATAGGAAATAGGAGGCTCAGTTGTTCAAATGACATAACTTAAATTGTTCCCCGTTGCCTTTTTTTTTTGGCTTACCTTTCATTGTTTCTTAGAATTAAGAGAAGGCAATTGAAACTGCCTAATATGTTTATAAAGTGCATTGGGGGCCACCTGATTTGCACAGGGATCATTTGCATGCTTTGCTAAACAAAGTGTGGTGAATAAAACTTGAGACAATGAATCCTCATTTTGTTTGTTATTCTGGAGCAGGTGATGTAGTTTTTCCAGTTCTGATTGCTTTTGTGGGCTGTTGGTTTGCTTGTTAAGCTTGATAAATCACTCTTCTGAACTCCCTGGAGTACCAGGCCCATTGTTAAGACAAATCTTTTCTATTGAGCAGCTAAAGCATATGGAAGGAAAAAAAGAATTGTAACGATAAGTGTGGGGGTTTTCCCTTTTTTTTTTTTTTCTTTTACAAAAAGAAAACCCAAACACCAACATCATAGTGAGAACTGTAATATAAATCCTTCCTGATACATCGTCAGTAGCCTGAGCTGAGCTGCTGTGTCCTGGCAATGGCTGCAAAACATTCAGGAGGTCGGATAAATTTTAAGTATTATCTGAAGATGATGACTTCTTGAGAAGCTTTTCAGAGTGCTACAGCTGAATTTTTAATTCTCTTGCCCATTTTTTACTGTTTTCCCTAAAGTTTAACACGTAAGCGAGCAAGCTAGCAGTTTCTCTTGCTTTTGTCTGGAGTGTTGTGGAGTCATTAACGTAGACACGAAGTGTGGATTGAGAGATTTCACTGCTTTTGTTTTCCTTCCCGCTGCAGGTTAGCGATTGGTGGGAAGAATATATCTACCTTAGGGGACGGGGACCGATCATGGTTAATAGTAACTATTTTGCAATGGTAGGTAAAGACTATCAACACCGTATGTGTCAAAGAACTGTGAAATTTTTGCCGGGTTTCTTACTCTGTGATACCTTTCTGTTTAGAAATCCAGTGCCACTGAGTATGTGACCTCTGGTTGTGTTTCTTCTGGGATAACCTGCAGTCAGTGTCTTCAAGTGCAGTGCTACCTTATTAATAAACTCGGCACTTCTGCCACTTAGCCAGACTCGTGCAGCAATGAATTCTGTAGTCTTGTGCTTACTGCAGCATGCAGTCTTTCAAAAGCTGCATGTAAAACTTCATGGGCAACACAGTTCAGTGGGGTGTGCGCGCCTGTTTGCAAATGTCTGTCTGAGAATTAAGATTGTAAACGAACCTAAAATGAAACGCAAAAAGAGGAAATACGGTAGTCTTGGCATCAAGTTTTAAGTAACACAGTCTTTTCTCCTGGGATGATTAACAGCTATCATTTATGTTTTAGGACTGATGCTGTTGGAGTAGAGTGTGACTGTTAATATAAGTTTCCAAGTCATCATCAACTTGCTGCACTAGTACACTTAATATCTTTTATAACCTTTTCTGTATTGACCAGAATAAACTCTAAGAACATGGAAGAGAAGTACTATCAATATTTTTTTTTTAAATGTAGCCTGGTAATCATTAACTTATGATTTTATGCACTTTACAGGACTTCCTTTATTTATCTCCCACGACCCTGCAGGCAGCTAGAGCTGGTAATGTTATCCATGCCATCCTGCTCTATCGGAAAAAACTGGACAGACAAGAAATCAAGCCGGTATGTGTGTCCCTTTAAATGGCTTTTGATTGTTTTTCCAGCACAGTCTGTAAGAACTTGGATCAGTTTTCAGAATGGGAGAGGAATGTCTTATTGTCAGGACTGCATGTAAGATGTAACTACATTTGTCAGGCATTGGAACGGGCTGCCCAGGGAGGTGGTTTGATTCGCCATCGCAGGAGGGATTTGAAAGGTGTAGGTGTGGTGCTTAGGGATGTGGTTTAGTGGAGGACTTGGCAGTGTTAGGTTAATGGTTAATGATCATAAGGGTCTTTTCCAGCCTAAAAGATTCTATGCAATTTGTGGCTCCAAACATCCTGGTTACCGCTTGAATTGCACATGAGCAGAAACTACCAACTGTCAGAGAGACAGGATTCTGCCACGATGACTGACTGCAGTAGTTGAAATGAACCTATGTATTTGCCCAAAAGACACAGAGGCTTGTCCTTGCCTATGCTCGTGTCTCTAAGGTCTGTGGTATCACCTACCGTGATTGCAGGGGGTGGTTGGACAATGGCCAAGAGTAGGCCGATGGCAGCCTGGGTATAGATGATCAAAATCCCGTGTTGCACTAACTTCTAGGTAGCAAAGATAGGAAGGGTGAATCCCATTCTGCTTTCTCTTCTCCCCTGTGGTTGTGTGTTGTAGTGAACAAGTACTGGGGGAACAATCAGTTTTGTTGAACTCGCGGTAGGGACGTGGTTAGTTGTGTGTCACCGCAAACGGGAGAAACGTTTTGTTCCTACACAGCCAGAAGTAGCGTTAAAAGAAGAAACAAAGGGGTAATGCTTGCTGCATGTGTGAGTTTGCATCCAGACTGGCTGTTGGTTGCTCTTTGGAGTTCAGGTGCTAGCTAGGTTGCTTCAGCCATCCCTCCTGAAGGGTGAGCTTTTGGTAGGAGGGAAAAAAAATAGAGCTACTGGCAGTGGAATCTTCCACCTGTAGTTCAAGGAAAGACTATGAAGGTGGGGTGGGGTGGGGTG